ATGTATCTGTATATATATTTCCTTGAAAAAGTTTGGACCAGATTACCAGGCAAAACGTTGAATTTAATTCAAATTCATTCGCACTGCTGAGGAGTCCCACAATAAGACGAAACGGCCGTCCATTGCTTCCAGGTTTTCCATGGTGGTCTAGCATCAATTGACTAATGATCTCAACTGTTGAAATATATTCTTCCTCTTTTATGTCCCAAATCAACTCGGTGCCCAATTACTGTGAAACTATTCAATCAAATTTAGACGAAAGTTCTTATATATTTACATTTTTACTGTCTTGTAAACTTGGTTATCTAATAACTACTTCTGAGAACAATGTACTTTTTTCATCAGCTATGCTAAATATTCATTATTCATAACGATTTGTAATTTAATAGTTGAGTTCACGAGCCAATCAAAGCTAGATCACCATGGAAAATCTGGAAGCGTGGGATGGCCGTTTCGTCCTAGTTTTGGATTCCTCAGTAATTTTTTTAGGTATCATTACCAAGGTTTGATTTGATAATTTCGAATAAATTGAGCATTGGGTTGATTGTTATAAATAAATAATATATTTGTAATATCCCAATGAGTATAAAATTAGTTTTCTGACGTTTCGCGACTTAGTGCAAGTCACTTCTTCAGAGAATAAATAACCAAATTAAAATTAATCCAAGTTTAATTCGCTCATTTATTCTCTGCAGAAGTGACTTACACTAAGTCACGAAACGTCAAAAAATCTAATTTTCTACTCATTGGGATATTACAAATATATTATTGATTTATCCTCAGTAATTTACTTAACATGAAAATATCTTCTTCTTTGATAGTTCATATTCACTTGTACAGTTATTATTCATCTGGATGAATTGGTTATATTTTCTTAGGTACTTACAACCGTTCAGTATATACGAATACTGACAGAAATTCAACTTAAGATCATTTGAATATTATTACAATATCTAAAGTCATATAACAGTTATTGAAACAATGAGTTACGTATATGTTGAAGTTAAATGAATTTGATAGTAATAATGTTGTTCTGTGTCATCTTTTTTCGAATCTAAGCGAACTTCACTAAGTATGTTATTTTTTGATAGATTATCAAATATGAAGGGCAATATTTTCAGCGAATAGATCAACAGAGATAATTGGAAAATATTTTTTTTTGAAAAGATTAAACATAACCACAAACTACAATCACTAGTTTTCTTCAAGTAAATTGTATTGGTATGGAAGCAAAACAATGATTATGTTGTGGTTCTTGCTTAACTAAGTAAATTAGAGACCTTGGATAACATCTCAGAGTTTGTCACATTGATCTAGACATCCAACAGTGTTAATGTTCACGACATTGAGCAATCATCATCAATTGTCTTCGGTGGGTAACTGCCTCACACCCAACACGGATTAGTTTCACTGGTTACGGCTTGATAGTGGTTTAACGCTGATCGATTCATGATCTCAATCAATAAATTCATTCTTTCTTCTTAGATCATATTCTTTACGCGCAGTATTTTATACTATCAATTGTACCGTTACTAGTGCCACTACTTTGATGTTTATTAAAAGGAACGAATAGAGCGAAGAGATTCCTTTCAATTGGTTTTCCGTTATGGTTCTACGCTAATATATATATATATATATATATATATATATATATATATATATATAACAATCAAATAATACTCATCGAGTTGTTGCATTACGTAGTGATTATATAATGTCTCAGTCAATATTTAAAAATAATATTGAGTAATAGGGAGAAAAAGTAAACATTCGAAACATTATACTGTTGCTATATAGTATAATATATGAAAAGAACTAACAAAATATTTTGATGAAAGACTAGTACTATAGAAGTTATGGAAGAATCAAGAGATGGATGCTGATAATATATATAAAAATACAAAAATGAAAGAAATTAGAGGATTGTTGTAATATTTTTGAAAGAAAGGGTATAATCAAAGTTCATATGAAAACTGTCTTCTATACCGATAACCAAGGTAGCGAGACTGGTTGTAAAAAACTCTTTTGGATGCAAAGGTTAGGTTCGCGAACGTGGATTTCGATGGCTTCAGTATTTTGCAACGGACAAACTCCTCTTCCTTCCGATAACTTAATATTATTGTAGACATTGATTGGGACATTATATGATTTTTACGTAATAAAACAAGGTGGTAAATATTATTTCACTGTTCTAAATCATATATATATACCATGTTCTACGTTGATTATGGCTAAATGAACATATTTCTCTCTATGAAATGACAGTTTGTTTAAGTGGAAGAAAATATTCTAATAGCTGGTCGACTGTATCATGATGGAATTACTTGACAAACTGGGTACATAATTCGGCCGAATGAGAACAAAGCTAAAAATTACCTTTGAATTTTCAAGCTACTTATTATTCTGTCAGTAACACACAGCTCAAGAGCAATCGAGAATTTATCGTGTTACAAAATTAAAGAAACTTTATTACCATAGTAGCCTTATACATATTAAGACTTTTCTAACGACATACACTCAGAGTATTAGAAATACAAAAATACATTCATTCAGGAGTAAATAATGTTATATATTAAATTTATAAACGACTTGTTACATTATTCCCAAGATCTATGGAAGTCTTCTGCAAATTGATCTACCTGTAAAACAAGAAACTAACTCGACAATATACATATCGATTATCCATATTCTCGAATTCTCATAACAAATCAAATAGATTTCCAGTAGTACATATACTCTCCTCACAATCAGCATTATATAATATCTTGAATGAAGATTGGGAGAACGAGTGAAGGACTGGTATTTTCATCATGGATCAACATCGTCTAGAATGCATAATGAATGAGTGAATTTCACACAGAAATACAAGAGGTGTGATCAGAATTGTTCATTCATAAGCGATACTGTGATTGAATTAATCATGGTTTCAGAATGAAGAGTTTGTTGATGTAAGTGATGGATGATGATGTTTATTCATCTACCATACATAATTTGAAGAGAGAGAGATAACTGATTATTTGATAAGACTGACATTATGATTTTTATTTTGTTGTATTACTAAATAACTTTTCTTGATCAATTTAAACATTCTGAGCTTTGTTATAGGTTAATATAATATTCGAATTTTGTACAAACACCTATTAGTCACTTTCATGGGTCACATCTCCTTATCCCTATTAATCAATTTTTTTATCACGATGTTACTTTTTTGACTTCTTGACAAAAATGATTTTTAAAAAAGAGTCGGCTTGACCTTGACTGTCATGGAATAGTGAAGTACTTTTGGCACTGATAGATATTCCCTATTATATTGGGTTAATTTTAAATTATATTATGATTTATTTCTTTTTGCTGAATATCTGAAAGAAAAGTTAATTTTCGCTTAATATATTGAAATGATTATTATTATTTAAAAACATAAACACTGGTACAGGGGGGAGCACCAGATACATATGCACCACACAATCTCACTTGATTTGTGTGAAGGCTGTGATACTTCCCGGGTGCCCAAGCCGAACCAGGTGGTTTTCTTAGGGATCCACACCAGGAGCCTTAGACCTAAAGGTCTTATCCAGAAGGCAGTGGAGCATCGTAAGGAGATGCAGTTCTATAGTAGCCGGTGACCAACGATTGGTTCATACATCATTTGTTCCTTCAGGGAACTGGAGCCCATGTTCACTATTGGTTTGGAGTCAAGGTTTTCCAACTCCTCTAGGTGGACTCTCTGTGTCCACCAACCAGGTTAAAGTGCTGGACATTGACCTTACGTCCTCTCAAATCTGTAAGCAACACCTCCACCACGAGAAGGCAGTGAGTAGGACTTCCCTGGCAGGGATCGGAGAGCGGACTCTCCACACTCAGCCGTACCAGGGCATTTGGAGGCATATATATAATGAAATATGATAAAATTAATTAGTAATGAGAGCTGAGGCATATTATAATCGGAAGTAAATAGGCCGAGTGTAACGTATAATCTTGTTTTTTCTTAGCTTGGTTAGATTATAAATTGTTGTTCAAATATAACACTATAGGTTAAGAAGTAATGTGAGAGTGTACACTTACTACACATGTAGCAGTTATTTTGTCTTTGGTTTATAACTCATAGGAACGATGTAATCAAGATCTGAGTGTCTTCAATGTTGTCAGTACTCTTTTTTAATAAGTACGAAACTTTTCAAAATAACAATGCTGAAAAGTTAACTGAATTTGTGATATCAGTACAAGTGAATACTTACTACCCTAAAGTTGGCCTAAGTTGATTAGAATTCTTCATCTTGTATTTATCAAATTTTAGGTTTGTAGTATTTTCATATTGTCTCGATTGTAAGCTTTCATTTGAAATAGTAACTGTTGGTATATATTTTCTCATTTATTAATTACTATTGATGATCTATGCAATGATTACCTAGTTTCTCAATATAAATGATCCAATTATTTAAATATTGTGTTATCTTATTTATGGTATCTTTTAGTTTTGTAATTCTTGCATATTATCATGTGACTTTCCAAGTCATGGAATAATATAATTATAAAAGGTTAGTCGGCTCAATGTCTTCGTGCTCTGATTGCCCAGTAGGAAACCAAAGAAATTGCATGGACTAATTGGCGTTAGAATATCCAATCTTTGTAAACGGTAATTTACTATTGGCCAAAAAGAAACTGATTGGTTTTATTGACATAAAGTGTATTCCTGATTAGTGAACTCTATAATTCAACGATCCTATTTATATGCGTATAAGAATTTGAATTCAGTAGTTTGTCTTCATTCCTTAGAAAAGGAAGTCATTTCTCTTGGTTAATCATGTGCACGTATCACTTGATTTCTGACTGACCTCCAGTATCAGACACGTTATTTTTCCTTACAGCTCATTTGCTTTTTATATTATAAGAATTTCATAATTCAAATACCAATGAATGAAGTGGTAAAGTTATCGGCTTTTTTTGATATTTTTTCCTATCACAATATTAACTGATTTTTCATTTTTATTTTATTCTTATAGCATCTACAATAATAATGATAATTATTATCTAAGTCTATTTCGTTTGCATGGAGTCCTAAATGGCTTGGAATTCAACTATTAATTATTTAATAACTTTACCCAACTCCACTTTCAACTGCTGTTACTGAAGTTATCTTATCCTTTATTCATCAACCCAATTATTACTAATCAAATTAATTGAATTCATCTGTTATACAAGTATGCCATAATAATGATGATGACAATGAAATATATTATCTGGAGCAGTGTCCTATATTAATCTAATCCCTATATCCAAAACCTAACCCCCCACCTCACCCCCATTCTTGATCTTTGGAAAATAATCATTGTTAAATGTATCCGTGTGTGTGTATATATATAATATGTGAGTCTATATTGAGAGAGAGAGAGAGAGAAAGTTTGAAAATGACAGGGGAAGTAACTAATGTTTCAAACCATCCTGAATATATATATATATAATAACTTTCGAATTTTTCTTTACAAACTTATTGTTGTTCTTAATTATTTGTTCATTATTGTCAACTTAATTTTATTGCTTTGAGAAATAATATGCACATAGTGATTTTTTTAAAAAAAAATTTGAATAAAACTTCTCAATAAACCTAAACACAATCAATATCTTTTTGAAATTATCCATGGAAACAAAACAAATTTCTTTTTCGTCAATTAACCAAGTAACTAACAAACTAATTATTATTATTATTATTATTACCAATCTTGAAGAGATAATATCCATATATATAAATACATATACATGAGTATATGTTTGAATGTACATGTATAGAAACAAGAAAATCATTGTATTTGATTATAAAGAACACAAATTTAATTTTATTGATCAGGTTTGGTTTGGACGTTTCGTTAAGCAATAATGTATTGCTTGAAATATTCTTTTCTATTTACATATAAATAAATAAATAAACAAAAAAGAAGAGATGATTTCCACTATTCGGGACTTATTCAATAAATAAGTCTACTTGAATGATTAATTATGATAATAAACACAGTAGAATTGATCACTGAGCTCAATACAAAATAAAGAATCTATTGAGATGTTTGTTAAATTATTTCTTAATATTGAGCAGATATATGCACACTCACACACACATATATATACATTAATTACATCTCACTATAAGCTTTCTTTATGTAAAAAAAAGCCAATAGGTGAGAATACGAAATTTTTATTGGTGATGATGAGAATGACGATGATAAACCACTTCCTCATCATCTGATCACGTTGAATCTTTTGTATTTATTGTCTTGCCTTACCAATAATTTATATTCATCCCACCCCAATTTTCCGTTTGTGTTTTTGTATCCTCACAAAATTGCCTTGTCTTTTAAATCTAGAAAAATATATATATTTATCATATCTTTGTTGCTAAATAAAATGTTTTTACAGTACCTATTATTATTATTATTATCGCCACATGTTACCACCATGTGGAGAATTCAACAACGGAAGATTCTGTTAAATGTTCGAAATCTTTAGTTAGATATTTTTTTATAAATCGCTATAGAAACCGATATTCTTTGCCAGCTATAGAATTTCGTTTCAGAGTGAATTGAAAAACAGAAATACTATAATTACTATTATTATCTGTTTTGAAAGAAATAAGAGTAGAAAAAAATAGCAATACAAACAATCCCTTACAATGTTTGTTTTAGAAATTGTTTTGTTTTTCTGTTGTTCTTTATTTATATTACATTTTCTTTTGGAGCTTTTTTTGTTTGTATTGTAACCTCAGAGATACCTAACGACTGCTAAAACGACCACTGATCTGTTGATGCTGATATCATATCCCAAAAATAAACAAAATGGCTTTATATATTTGTCTATCAACGTGTAATTTATGAAATGAGCATTGTCAAATGTCAAGATATTATTAGTGTTGTATACATGTGCCTATTTGTATAACTGTCTCTCTCTCTCCCCCCCCACTTGCTCTTGCTCTCTATTAATATGTATAAATATGAATATATCATTTGTTTGTTAAAAAAAACTAACGTGGCATTTTTGTGTCAATTATTTGTCTTCCTACCAATGGACCTCATTGTTATGTTACCATTACTAAATCAATCTGGGAGGAAATTTGAAAGAAAGAAAAAATAAACTAATTTGTTCTACACTTACATAAATACACACACACAGAAATATGTGTATGCTTACAGATTCATATATACAATTCAAGATTGAATAAGTGGATGAATCAATGAACTCAAATGATGTAATCTCCTCCCAAATATATTTCATTTGCATATTTGCTTACAATATTATTATTTATACTTAAAATTCTTTTCATTTTGAGAAATATTTTCTTGTTACTATTATTTTCTACAATACTCCGTTTTTTTTTATTATTTCAAAGTGTATTGTATACGATTAAAATAATGAAGCAAAACACAGTCATCATCATCATCACCATAGTGACTAATAATACAACCCTTAGATAAATTGTTAATCATAATGATGACAGCGGCAATGACATAAACTCAAATAAATAAATAAACAAATAAGAATATCCCTCCTATTTGTGATTAAATTAGTCATGTGAATTTTGATTGTTCACAATTGTTATTATTACTATTATTATTGTTACCATTAATATTATTTCCATTTTAGATGATGATAAGAGAACAGTGCTGTTAAATAAAACAAACTGATCACTTGATCTGATTGTCATTAATATTTGTAAGGGTTATCCCTTTCCCATTAGTTTAATATTGAGGATTGATTTCGATTAGTTTCTGTTGTTGACTAATGGGTTGATTGAAGGGTCATCTAAGTATTATTATTATTAATATTATCATCAGCAATTTTATTATTAATAGTTACGAATTTGGTTAGAGTATACAATAGAGATGAGCTTGAAACAACTGCTTATTTATTGAATTCTTCTGCAGAATAATCTACCTGTAAAACGAGAAATTAACTATATATATTCGATAATATACATATCGATTATCCATATTCTCGAATTCTCATAACAAATCAAATAGATTTCCAGTAGTTCATATACTCTCCTCACAATCAGCATTATATAATATCTTGAATGAAGATTGGGAGAACGAGTGAAGGACTGGTATTTTCATCATGAATCAACATCGTCTAGAATGCATAATGAATGAGTGAATTTCACACAGAAATACAAGAGGTGTGATCAGAATTGTTCATTCATAAGCGATACTGTGATTGAATTAATCATGGTTTCAGAATGAAGAGTTTGTTGATGTAAGTGATGGATGATGATGTTTATTCACCTACCATACATAATTTGAAGAGAGAGAGAGAGAGACAACTGATTATTTGATAAGACTGACATTATGATTTTTATTTTGTTGTATTACTAAATAACTTTTCTTGATCAATTTGAACATTCTAAGCACTACTACTGGTTATATGTGTAACGGTTTCTGTCTAACCGGAAGGTACAAACAGTGTGCAAAGTGAATGAGATGGGCTTGAAAAGAGAAGAACAAGAGGGAAGATGAATCGGTGACCCATCAATAGCATTCAATGCACTTACTTTTATTAAAGAAAGTAATAAGCAACAATCATCAGTAACACAAGCCTCAGATTAAGACAGTCTTGGAATAGAAATTAGAAACAGATAGTTTAACCCGTTTTAATATGTAATATTTGAATTTTTCACAAACATTCATAATTTACTTTCTGAATTATGGTCTCTTCATCTTTATATTAAACTTCTGTTCAAAGTTTTATTGGGTTTTCGAGAGAGTCGCTGATGGTAGAGTTTGTAATGGATTTTTATCTGTTTAAGGGTGCATGGGTTAGTTGTACCCGTTGTGAGATTTGACTGAATTAAGACAAGTATCCAGTACATTTTAAGTTAAACATAAACGTGATGTCTATGGAATTACCATTCGATGACAACATGAAATTACTGATGTTTTTGGTTAAGTTTCAGTAATTGGTTAAACCTTACAGAATAAAGAATTTGTGATTATACTGTTATAACGTGTGATCCGCCTATTGAGAGCAGCCTATTATCGATCGAAACAGTGACGCATAAAATACGACCGAGCAGCCTAGAGTTCTGATTGGTCCTGCTTCCCTGTCTAGCCCAGCCAATTGAGTCCAGAACACAAGTCTCAGCCTCGGAGATATGAATCGTAATATTTCAAACATACACTGTTTATATACCAAACAAACAGACTACATCGTACCATAAAACAGAAAGTAACATTTGTACAAGATTTAACCTTCAGGAAATGACACAAATAAATATTGACCAATAAGGAGATGACACGTTGGAAGAATGTTGACCAATGGCGAAATGGCACTACTTCTCATTCAGGAATAGCCTTAGATAATTTCTGGGGTATTTTCTGAATACCCCAACATATACTTAGACTAATTTTTACGTGATCACAATCTATGTTTTTTGGTTCTAGATTTTGTTTAGCATAATAGCAGCAGCTCTTAAGGATTCAGACTCGAATTTCAACAACTGATCCACCAATGAATTGCAATCAACATGACGTTTGTTTAATCTCCTTTGTGCTAATCGAAATCTGTTATGTTTTCTGCCCTGTCAATGTGTCACGTGACTAAATCGCCTATTAGATGACCGACTTATATGACCTAGGCCCTGTGCCAAACTAATGACGTGTTAACAAGCACGAGCAGCCTTAAGTCAACTCCGAGTTCTTATTGGTTCTTCTTGCCTTGCCCTACTCGTTGAGTTCGGAACACAATCTCAGCTTCCACTGTATGTATCATGTAGTTTATATACAAGCAAATCAGACCGAACCACACCATGAAATAGAAAATAACAGTTCTACAAGATCAGGCCAAAAGTGGTCGTGAGTGTGAGAAACTGTAACTTATATATCAGAAGTAAAGGATGAGAAATTGTATGTCAATAGCCTATATATCAAATGAAAGCAATACGAATATATATAGTCTAGTTACTTAGTAATTCTCCAATTAGAATATATGTAGTAATAGTCCATAAATTATTCCTAGCAGTTACCATTCATTTTTTTCTCTTGGGATGTAACAAAT